TCAGCCTCCTGAGTAGCTGGGATTACAGGCACGCGCCACCATGCCCAGCTAATTTTTTGTATTTTTAGTAGAGACGGGGTTTCACCATGTTGACCAGGATGGTCGCGATCTCTTGACCTCGTGATCCACCTGCCTCGGCCTCCCAAAGTGCTGGGATTACAGGCTTGAGCCACCGCACCCGGCCGATTTTTTTTTTTTTTTTTTTTTTTTGGAGACATGGTCTTGCTCTGTCACCCAGGCTGGAGTACAGTAGTGCAATCATGGCTCACTACAGCCTTAAACTCCCAGGCTCAAGTGATCCTCCCACCTCAGCCCCATTACAGTCATGAGCCACTGTGCCTGGCCCTAAATTTGAATTTTTTTTTTCTTTTTGAGATGGATTCTCACTCTATTGCCCAGGCTGGAGTGCAGTGGCATGATCTCGGCTCACTGCAACCTTCACCTCCTGGTTTCAAGCAGTTCTCATGCCTCAGGCTCCCAACTAGCTGGGATTAATAGGCATGCGCCATCATCCCCAGCTAATTTTTGTATTTTTAGTAGAGACGGGGTTTCACCATGTTGGCCAGGCTAGTCTCGAACTCCTGACCTCCGGTGATCTGCCCAACTCAGCCTCCCAAAGTGCTAGGCTAATAGGCATGAGTCATCGTGCCTGGCCCTAAATCTGAATTTAAATGACCATAAGCTGGCAGTCAACCTCAACTAAGGAACCACCATGTGCAAAGCACTATAAAAGCTACTATAGGGAGTTTTAAAAGAGGCAGTAACAATCATATAATCCAACGAGGAACCCATAATCTAAACCATGCCTGGCCACTAGCTCCAGAAAGCCATAAACCAGCTTCCCCCTTGAATAATCTTAGTCAAGCTTTTGTCACTCCCAGCAGCGGCTATTAGTTTAAGCAACTCATTTCATACAATTAAACAATTAAAATATTAAATTCATTTTACTTTGCACTTCAAAAATGTATTTTGAAAATCTCTTTCATCTCCCTTTTATAAGTCTGCTTTTAAAGGACTCAGGATAGATGCAGGTTTAGAGCATGCTTGGTGAATTGTAAAGAACTTGTATACAAGGCTTAGCTTTTCACTTGAAGTCATGTATTTTTAAAGCCCTGACTTAAATGATATCTTTAGATTATCACACATTCTCATCTAGGCTCTATTACAGCTTAGTTTCTGAATATTCATATAATGACATCTTCAAGTGCCTGTTTGTAAGATACAGTCTAGATAGACATAGAAGCTTTCTAAAAACAATCAAGATTTCCTTCAAGATTTATAATAGCTTGAAGGTAATCTAAAATCGTATCTATGTTTCCGGTTTTACCAAAGAATGGCAAATGCAAATGTTAACTTGAACAGTCCCTTTCCACTGAGAAGGTTCATATTCTTTTTTTTTTTTTTGAGACGGAGTTTCACTCATGTTACCCAGGCTGGAGTGCAATGGCGCGATCTCGGCTCACCGCAACCTCCGCCTCCTGGGTTCAGGCAATTCTCCTGCCTCAGCCTCCTGAGTAGCTGGGATTACAGGCACGCGCCACCATGCCCAGCTAATTTTTTGTATTTTTAGTGGAGACGGGGTTTCACCATGTTGACCAGGATGGTCTCGATCTCTTGACCTCGTGATCCACCCGCCTCGGCCTCCCAAAGTGCTGGGATTACAGGCTTGAGCCACCGCGCCCAGCCTCATATTCTTAATTTACATTACAGTTTTGGAGACATATGCTCCAGAAATGCTATCACTCCAGTAAATAATTCAGTAACATACTTCCATTTTGGGATATTTAGTATATTGATACAAATAACTTGATAATGAATTAATGTCACCTTCCCTTTGGTTGTACAAAACAATGGTATTGCCAGAGAAGCTAATGGAATTTGTAGACAAAGAGCCCGGGGCTGTTGCTGTTATATATATATATATACATACATGTATGCATGTATTTTTTTTTTTTTTTTTTGAGACGGAGTTTCACTCTTGTTACCCAGGCTGGAGTGCAATGGTGCGATCTCAGCTCACCGCAACCTCCGCCTCCTGGGTTCAGGCAATTCTCCTGCCCCAGCCTCCTGAGTAGCTGGGATTACAGGCACGCGCCACCATGCCCAGCTAATGTTTTTGTATTTTTAGTAGAGACGGGGTTTCACCATGTTGACCAGGATGGTCTCGATCTCTTGACCTCGTGATCCACCCGCCTCGGCCTCCCAAAGTGCTGGGATTACAGGCTTGAGCCACCGCGCCCGGCCTGTTTTTGTTTTTTTTTCTTTTTTGAGATGGAGTCTGGCTCTGTTGCCCAGGCTGGGATGCAGTGGCACAATCTCGGCTTACTGCAACCTCCACCTCCCAGGTTCAAGTGATTCTCCTGCCTCAGACTCCCAAGTAGCTGGGATTATAGGCACCCGCCACCATGCCCAGCTTATTTTTGCATTTGTAGTGGAGACAGGGTTTCAGCCTGTTGGCCATGCTGGTCTCCAACTCCTGACTTCAGGTGATCCACCCACCTCAGCCTCCCAAAGTGCTAGAATTACAGCCATGAGCTCTCATCACCACGCCCAGCCAAGCCCAGGGTTTAAACCCAGCTCTGCCATTAACAATCGGGATACCTGGCGGGGCGCGGTGGCTCAAGCCTGTAATCCCAGCACTTTGGGAGGCCGAGGCGGGTGGATCACGAGGTCAACAGATCGAGACCATCCTGGTCAACATGGTGAAACCCCGTCTCTACTAAAAATACAAAAAATTAGCTGGGCATGGTGGCGCGTGCCTGTAGTCCCAGCTGCTCAGGAGGCTGAGGCAGGAGAATTGCCTGAACGCAGGAGGCGGAGGTTGCGGTGAGCCGAGATCGCGCCATTGCACTCCAGCCTGGGTAACAAGAGCGAAACTCCGTCTCAAAAAAAAAAAAAAAACAATCGGGATACTTTGTCAAATCCTCTAAGCCTCAATTTCCACATCTGTAAAATGAAGATAATAGGATCCACCTTGGAGGATAACTGCAAACATGAAATGAGATGATTAACACACTGGACCTAGCCCACTAGAATGTTCCATAAATGTTGGCCCTCTGTGTTTTCCTTTCCCCTTAAAGCAAAGCCTTGCTAAATAAATGTCCACATAGACACATATATAATTAAATGTTTATACACTAAAAAAGTTGGCTTCACCATTTTCTAAATTTTCTCCTTTGCATACGAAATTATAATCTTAAACAGTTTCTCAAAATATCTAACGAGAACCGTGGTTTAAAAAAGTAAAACAAATGACGAAGTAGGAAATAATTCATTCTTAGGCTTATTAATATAATTGGGGGTTTCATTTCTACACCCAAATACCTACTGGTTTCTGCAACGAAGGAAAGCAGTCATGACTTAGGAGGTTTTAAAAATTATTATTATTATTATTTTGGTAGAGATGGGTTCCCACTATGTTGCCCAGGCTAGTCTCAAACTCCTGGACTCAAGGGCTCATTCCTGCCTCAGCCTCTTGGGAATACAGGCACAAGCCACTGCACCTGGCCAGACCGATGTTTTACGATTTAGATGTTACTGAAAAGTCATTGACTTAGAGAAAGACACAAAGTCATGCTTATCACATCTGCCACAAAGCTAAGAGGAAGGTTAATATAGATATAACAGAAGCAAGAATCGAAAACGTGGTCAGGCCGGGTGTAGTGGCTCACGCCCGTAATCCTAGCACTTTGGGAGGCCGAGGCAGGCAAATCATTTGAGGTCAGGAGTTCCAGGCCAGTCTGGCCAACATGGTGAAACCCCATCTCTACCAAAAATACAAAGATTAGCCGGGCGTGGTGGTGGGCATCTGTAATCCCAGCTACTCGGGAGGCTGAGGCAGGAGAATCACTTGAGCCTGGGAGGCGGAGGTTGCGGTGAACAGAGACTGTGCCACTGCACTCCAGCCTAGGCGACAGAGTGAGACTCCATCTCAACAAAGAAAGAAAGAAACAAACAATAAAAACAAAAGAAATGTGCTCAAACTTGAAACTAGTGGATGCCACTCATTGCATTTGTTTCAAAGAGCTGTGGTTATGGTTGCTGCCGTATGGCTGCTTGTTGTTTTGTTTTGTTTTTGAGACAGAGTCCTGTTCTATCGCCCAGGCTGGAGTGCAGTGGCTCAATCTCAGCTCACTGCAACTTCCACCTCCTGAGTTCAAGCGATTCTCCTGCCTCAGCCTCCCGAGTAGCTGGAACTACAGGTGCGTGCCACCACGCCCAGCTAATTTTTTTGTATTTTTAGTAGAGACGGGATTTCACTGTGTTAGCCAGGATGGTCTGATCTCCGGACCTTGTGACCCACCCACTTCAGCCTCCCAAAGTGCTGGGATTGCAGGCCTGAGCCACCTTACCAGGATGGCTGCTTGTTTCCAGCAGAACAAATACCCACAGGTTAAGAAATGGGGGAGGGGCGGCGGGAAAATGTCAGGAAACCGGGGGGAGGGGCGGGGCAGAGAAGACCAAGTGTAGCTGACCACCTTGTCAGAAGCAGCAAGCAGTTTGATGTAGCTTCTGCAAATGACAGGGCTAGTGTTAAAGCTAAAATTCCAGGCCGGGCGCGGTGGCTCAAGCCTGTAATCCCAGCACTGTGGGAGGCCGAGGCGGGTGGATCACGAGGTCAAGAGATCGAGACCATCCTGGTCAACATGGTGAAACCCCGTCTCTACTAAAACTACAAAAAATTAGCTGGGCATGGTGGTGCGTGCCTGTAATCCCAGCGACTCAGGAGGCTGGGGCAGGAGAATTGCCTGAACCCAGGAGGCGGAGGTTGCGGTGAGCCGAGATCGCGCCATTGCACTCCAGCCTGGGTA